GAGAGTCTAGGTAACCTCACCAAGCTCTTCCAACCCAACTGTGCAGGGCATTCCCCGCTGCTCATCTACTTTGGAGAAGTTTGAAGCTATCCACGCAGCCGGGCCATGGTGCTCCAGAGAGGTAGCATTCTATGCGATGGCTGGTCATGCGGCTTTGTGAGCCCTGGGTCCTGGAGAAGCTCAGAAGCTTAGATCACCTCCACGTGATGTGGATCCACCTTTCCAGGACAGGCTTCCAGTAGCCAGTCTCAACAGGAGCCGAGTCAGAGCTGCCCTCATCTGTGGTGACAACTAGGGGCCTGGGGTCTGACTGGGAGTCAGAACCGCCTGCTCTCGGAGTACCAGAGACAGCCGGGCGGAAGGACGCATGCCGGATGCAGAACTTCATCCTGACCCAGAGCTGAGGGCCGGGTCCAGGATGACACTTAGGAAAGTGGCTGTTCCTGCCACCAGGGGGACTGCCCCACCCCAGGGACCCTGTGTGTGCTTTCCGTACTAGTCTATTTTCCGTACCTCTCCAAAACACCACAGGGTAGGCCTGTAAGAAAAAAGGCTTATTTAGCTCACAGTGCTGGTGATCGGGCAGGCTCTTCTTTCTGTTCTCTGTTGAGGTCCCTTGGCTGTGTCCCATGGTGAATGCATCATCAGGGCATGACATGGAAAAGGGAGCGATCACAAAGCCAGAGAGCCCCAAGGGGCTGGTCTTGTTGTCCTATTACAGCCTCTCTCATGGGAGCCAAGCGGGGTCCCACGGAGCTACATTAATCCCTTCTGAGGGCAGCACTCCCATGACCCAGTCACCATCCACTGGACCCACGTCTTCACAATGCCTGCACTTTAACGCTGCACTCTGAGGCCCAAGCCTCCCACACCTGAGCCCTTGCAGGACCACAGCACATTTCACCAGGTGTGGCCTGGGGCTGCCTGGGAGCTTCTCTTGAGAGCAGAGATTGTTCATCGGGGTCTTGGGGCAGAATCTAGGTCAAGGTCATGTTTTCTTTAATTCCCATCATTTTTAAAAGTTAGATTAGTTACCGACATGCAAGATCAGATTGCACAGCTTCTCTTACAATACCCAGAAGCCCATGAAGACCTTGTATAGGGGCTGGGGATTTAGCTTAGCGGCAAGAGCCTGCCTGGCAAGCACAAGGTTGTGAGCTCGATTCCTGGTACTGGAAAAAAAAAAAAAAAAGACCTTGTATACATCCCCTGCCGGCTGCAAATGCCAGGAGCTGGGAGTGCCGCAGTTTGCCACTACCCTCTTCTGAGGCTTTGCTCCCCTTGTTTCCAATGTGCAGGCCTCAGAGGGCCTGTGCTTCTTTGTTCTGACATGCTGTGTGCTCATGGCAGATTGAACTCTCCACAGTCATGATTTCCTTAGGGGCTGCCTCATCCGAGCCCCCAAGAACTGCTACCCATCTTCCAAAAGAATCATAGGGCTGAAGGACACATGCCAAATTGTGATAACAGACTTTAGTTTTTAAAAAATCTTAATGCAGCAAAAGCATCCTCGTCCTATATCAACACATAAAATATTGCATGCAAAATATTGGGATTCTATTTGGAACGAGCTGGGAACAGTATCTGGCACATAGCAAGTACTCTATGCACACGAAAGCAGATTTCATAATATGGTAACAAGCGCTTGGAAATGTGTGCTCAGTTCCTCTCCCCACCGCTCTCTCCTCTCTTTAAAACCCAGGCGGAGAGGAAGGAGGAAGGGAGCAGAGGTTCGCAGTTAGGGCAATTGAAAGCGAGGCCTAGTCTCTGAAGGGCAGGGAGGACTAAAGCTCCCGGGATCTCCCTGCCTTAAAAGGCACAGGCATCTGCGAGCGGGAAGTGACTGGTGATAAGTACCCGGCTGCATGTCTGGAATATCAAGGACACTGTGCCGCTGTGGATCACGCTGCGAATCACAAGTGCGCTGGGTCCCTCTCCAAGCTCCCTTCCTTCACTCCGGCCAACATGTGCCTGCCTCAAGCGGGGTCCAGCTCACACAGGGGCCATGAGGTGGCAGCAGCCATCCCTGGGCTCCAGCGGCCCATGGTCCCCTGACAGAGTGGACAAATATCGTGTCCATGTGCATTCAGAGTTGGGGGAGGATCAGGGCTTTCACTGGGTTTTCAAAGAACTCAGGGACCCAAAGGCTCACACACCGTGAGGACTGCAGTAACTCAGTAATGTCTCCAAGGAGAACAGAAGACTCACTGATCAGTATGTGACATAAGGGCTAGTATGAGGTGGGACCCAATTTGTTTTTGAGGACAAATTCAGGACGCTTATGTGCTGCTTTTCATTTATACTACATCAGAATTTTTAAATGATGTTTTATTTAAATATTCCATACTCTCCAGGGATGGTCATCCAGGTGAGATGCCCAGGACATTACAGTGCAGAGGGCCCTGACGCTGCAGGTGGCAGCTGGAAGAGGCTGGCACCGGCTCTCTGTGACCCTATCAGGACAGGAGGAGACCTTTTCCCAGGTAGCATCCCTCCCTCCTTACCTATCCCACATCTTTGAGGGCAGGGATTTTGAGACCATCTCTGACCCCAGGGACTGCCGGCAAGGACTGCCACACCGAGGCATCCCAAGGTGGGGGCCTGAACGACAGACAGGCCTCCCCTTGGAAGTGAGATGCCAGAAGTCTGACATTATGGTGTCGGCAGGGCCTCCCTTCCTCCAGGACCCGTAGGGGAGGCTTCCTGCTGACCTCTCCCAGCTTCCGAGGGTGGCCCGCAAGTCTTGGTGGCCCTCGGCTTTGGGCCACATCACTCCAGCTTCTGTTGTCATCTTGAGCCACTCTCCTCTGTCTGTGTCCAAATTCCCCTCTTCTTCTAAGGACATCAGTCATACCGGATCTGGGCCAACTGCACTCACATCTTAACGTGATCATCATGAAGACCCTATTTCCAAACAAAATCACATCTGCAGGTAGCAGGGATCAGGACTTGAATGTATCTTTTAAGAAGCACAATTCAACACATCAAACAGCTACTGCATTCACCTCAATAGGCCGTGACACTCCTGTGTGCTGTCATTACTCAAACCCACCCCTCCCCTGGGCTCTCGGGGGTGGTGGGAGAGCTTCTCGTCCTCTGATGGTAACTGAGCACCTTCCCTGGGGATGTATTTTGAAGGAAACATTTTTTCCTCCTCCATCTCAGTCCTACAGGAAACAAGTTCCTTATAGATTGAGATGCATGAATGGGAAGTGTGTGCGTGTGTGTGTGTGTGTGTGTGTGTGTGTGTAGTGGGTGGGTGTGGGGGGAGGAAGAGTGGGAGACAGGAGGACAGGAGAAGGATAGAGCCACTGTTATAAGCACAAAAGAGACAAGGACGGAATTACTGTGCTTTGGACACGCCATGCCTTTGAGTGCAGTCATGTAAGGCAGCTGTAGCAGAAGGATGTTAATTTTGCTACTTTAGCAGTGGCTTCAAGAAGAGTGGTGTTAAATGCTCCTCCACATGAACTGGACCAGGGGGGTAGTCCGGGAAGGTACGGAGCTCCTGCTCCATGGCTTTGCCCAGGCCCCAGGTTCTTGCTCTGCTACCTGAAAATGTGCGGTTCTCTCCCAGGTAAAGCTGCTCAATACCCGTCCTGTCTCAGACACTGGGAAGGGGACAAGAAAAGCACAGGGAACATCATCTCCTACCTGGAGATTGCATTAATCACCTCCACTTCTACTGGCCAGAGGATAGTCATGGCACTTTGCTAGTTGCAAGGGAGTATGGGAAATGTAGCATATGTAACTGTAACTATGACTATGACTGTGACTGTGACTTTGACTACGACCATAACACTATAATTCTCTACCTATCTATCATCTATCTATCTATCCATCTATCTATCTATATATCTACCTATCTACCTGAACTGGGGTAGGCCTTTGCTTTGAAATGCAACCCCAGCTCTTTTTTTATTTTGAGACAGGGCTCTTATTAAGTCATTAAGTTGCTCAGGCTGGGCTAGAGCTTGCAATCCCAGAGTACTGGGATTACAGGAGTGCACCACTGTTATAGCTGTATCTCAGTATCCCCCCAAATCCTCATGCAGTTATAGGTGCAGCTTTTTCAGAGGTGGCTGACCTAGTGTGTGTGACTCTGAGGTTGATTTATGGTGCAATGCTAACATCAAGGGCACTGGAAATAAGGGCATGACTACTACCCAACCTGAGTAGCCTGGATAAGATGGGAGGGAGAGAAACAGCTGTACTTGTCCTTTGTTGCTTTGCTACCTCCTGCCCACCATGAACTGTTTCTCCTCTGCGATGTCTGTCTGCCCTGCTACCCAGCCTTGGAGCCAGCCAATTATAGACTGGAACCTCTACAAACTGTGATCTAAAGAAACCTTTCCTTCTTTTACTTTGGCTGTTGGGTATTTTGATCTAGCGATGACAAAAGTAACTAAGACAACCCTCCTGTCCAACTTGTAGCCCATATATTTGGAGGCCATAGGCAGGAATCCTGCTAGATATAATAAGGCAGCGATAAATATTTGGGAACAATCAACAGTCTGCTGTAGAGGAATGTGATTTTAGGAAAATAGTGTCATTAATCACCCAAGGCCCTAAAAATGACAGAAGAAACCCAGAGGCATTGATACAATATCAAATATGAGAAGTATGTGAGGGGCTGGGGATTTAGCTCAGCGGCAAAAGCGCCTGCCTGGCAAGTGCAAGGTCGTGAGTTCGGTTCCCAGTACCAGAGAAAAACCAAAAAAA